CGAACTCTTGCCACTACCAACAAGAATTCCAAAGCTGCTCTCAGTGCACCTCCAGAAGAGGCAAGGTCACTGCTGGGTGATGCCTCTAATTCTAGGATCAGCGGAGTTCCACTTCCACATGTCCCACCATTTATAGGAAATTTCCACCAGGCTGACTCATCAGCACCTCAGCATCCATTATCCAACTTGCCCCCAATCTAATGTGTCATCTTACCATGGCCAGGTAGCTGGGATCTATTAGTCCAGCCATGTGCTTTGGGTTCAAATTCTGTTTTTGTCACCTCTTAGCCAGTTGTCCTCAGTTAAGTCATTTAACCTGAACTGCTTTTTCTATAAATTGGGAATGAGTGTTTTGTAGCTCCCTCTCATGGTTGATGTGAGGAACTAATAAAATTACATCTGTAAACCATCTAGCATTTTGCCTGGCATATAGTAAGAATGTTAAAATAGATATACAGATATGCTCCCTTTCCCGTGCAAACTTGTCCCCTGTACTAACTCTCCTGTATCCTTCAGTGACACCATTCCTTCCAGAAAAGTCTGGCTCCACAGAGCAAAGGTGATGCCTGCAGGATTATTCTGGATCCATGTGAAAGACTTATCATTATAAATTAATAAATTCACATTCTGGTTTTAGGCATCAGTCTTTCAAACCTTATTAATATGCTTTTGCCACCAGGACAAGGATCTGTTTCTGGTTGCACATAAAATGAGTTTTCTGCACCCATAAGGTTAAGGGTCATACCTTGGACCAGAGAAAATTCTCCAAGTCAATGGCTGTCCCCTGAGACATCTCTCCAGAGACAGCATGCTCATCTCCCCCACGACAACTGGTCACCTCCATATCTGACACCCCAGGATTTGCTGCCTCTTTTTCCATTTGGAATTGTTCTACGTTGGCCACAGGGTTGCACATATAGTACTTGCTTTGTCAGTGTGTGAGTGGGTGGGTAGATGGTTGAGTGGGTCACCGGAAATTTGTACCTCTTTTTGAGGCAGGGAAGAAGCAGTGGTGGCCTAGCAACAAGGGAATCTGCCTAGCAACAAGGGTAGGAGGCAGAGCCTGCTGGAATCATTTAGAATGGCTGACAAACACGCAGATGGAAAAGAGACCTTTCTGGATCTTGTCAAGCTGGGGTCTCAGGCCAAAAAGAGAAAGGAGACCCACAGGGCTCAGGAAAGAAGTGTGGGAGGAAAGGCAGGAATAGCGTCAGCATATTCTGAAACGTTGCAACTCCAAACTAGAAAAAGCCTCATGCCTTTTTCAAAATTTGCTAAGCAAAGAGGAGCCCTCCTCACTCCCACCCCCACCCCAAGTAAGTTAATGCCCCAGAGTGGACAAATCCGAAGAGTATTCCGCCCTTTCTGCCCTCCAATTTGCAAGGGTACAACGGGATACCCTTTAAAATGTGCTGTCAAGTCTGGAATTTGTTCAACTCAGAAAGCCACAACCCTTGGAAAGGATAAAGACCTATATTCACTTAAAATGAACCCAAGGTCAGATTATGCGACTTTCCAACACAGTCTGTCTAGGGCAAAGAGCCATTAAGAACCCGGGACTGGTCTGGCTTGAATCATTTCTCTCCTTCCCTCCCCCCCCCACTCCCCCGCCACAGGACAAGAGCTTGGACATCCCCTCCTGTGAACTCTCAAGACCCTCCCCTGAAGAGAAGAAAAATTGTCATCAGCCTTTGACCTGATTAATAATTAAAACTGCTGAGTTTGAGCTGCCCCTAACAGCGAGGTGCTCCAAAACCCCAGCAAACTTTAACAAATAACCAGACTGCTCAGGGGAGAGAGGAAGCTCTTTCACTAGACAAACTGACAATTAGCTGCTATTCAAATCCCCCTCTAGTCTTAGCATATTGGTTCTCCTTTGAAAGTGGCTCGGCATGGGGTAGAATTTTTGGCCTTGAGTTTAGAACTACTGTGCATAAAATCAAAGCAAGGAAGCCAGCAGTTGGGAGAATAGAGGCTATTTGGGGATTAGTGATTTCGGAGTTAGATTTCTAATAACTTGGTGAGTGGTGGGTTAGGAATGTCCTCCAGGAGCATCAGGCAGTCAACACTGTGGGACATGTCCTCACATTGAACTGGAAAGCAATGAGTCACTACCCTAGAGAGCGGAAATACAAAATGGCATGAAATAACTGCGAGTCGGCTGCGCCGCATGGTAATCTGCCTTTTGTAACCGCTGCAGGCTACATCCCATGCTTACAACTTGGGGTTACATGTGAAGCCCCAAGTTTGGCTCAAAGTTTTCTCCCCAAAGAGCCACGAATATGGGCACCGCCACATTAGGGGACGCATTTATGGAGAACAAAGGGAGGAGAGTGGATGAGATGGAGGGGGCAGGGCAGGCATTCAAACTGCTCATTTTCCCCTAGGAAGCATAAGGCCCAGCCACTACGGTGGGTGAGCAAAGCAAATTGGTAATGGGTGATCCAGATTGCATCGCACAGCCTTGCCTGCTTTCCAGGCACTTACTGAACTTTATAACTCTTTTGGGGGTAAGACACAAAAACCCAGGATTTCTTATTGACCAGTCGGGGAGAGGGAGTCTGAGCTGGCTGGTCTAGGTCTGTTGCTTTTCCACAATACTGTACTGTAGTCCATCAAGAGACTTTCTTTAATGTATTTTTTTAAAGAGGGGGGCTGGAAAATCATGGCATGTGTAGCAGCTGCAGCAGCTTCAAGATTGCAATAGCCCAGCCTAGAAAGCACTAGAAAACTCCGTTTTTCAGAGAGGGAGAAGGCAGAAGACAGAGGTCCACAGATGGCTGCTGTTTGTAGGCACCCTGAAGCAGAAGGGGGCAATTCTGTGAGGCTGAATTTACTTTTATCCTTTTTTGTTTTAATTGAAGTATAACTTACAAACAGTAAAATGGATGGTTTATAGTGTATGGCTTGGTAAATGTATACTGTATAAGTATTCGTGAAATCACTAGCAGATCAAACATGAAGCAAGCCCAACACCCTAGAAGGTTTCCTTGAGTCCCTATGCAGTCAATATACTTCCGTCTCCTCAGAGTAGCCACGTTCTACCCTATCTCTAAATATATTTCACCTGTTTTTAAACTGCATATTTTATCCATAAGAGGGCAAGTGGCAAGAAAAAAAATAGCGAAGAAAAAAAACTTCATATAAATGTAATCACTTAGTACGTACTCTTTTGTGGCCACCTTGTTATGCTCAATGTAATATCTGTGAGATTCATCTATGCTGTTGTGGGAATCAATAGTTCATTCTTTTTCATTGCTATATAGTATTCCATTGTATGAATATACCACAGTTTGTACATTCTACTGTTGGGACATTTGCATTACTTCCAGTTTTTGTCTATTATGCATAAGGTTGCTATGAGTATTTTTGTACATGTCTTACGGTGGATGTTACCCCTCATGTCTGTTGGGTATATACCCAAGAGTGGAATTGCTGGGCCATTTATTTATAAACAAAATAACCTGGATTTAAAGAGGGCAGGAATCATGTCTGTTTTTCTCACTGCTATATCTCCAGAGCTTGTTGCAAAGTTGGTACCCAGTAAATATCTTTGGAAATAATGAAAGAATATTGATAAAAATATCAATTTTTCCAAAATTAATGTACACATTTGATGCAATTCTAATTAGATAACAAGAACGTTTTGATTTGGAGGGAAAATGGAATAAAATCATCTTAAAGTTATATAGAAGAATAAATGCTTTAGAATGGCAAATAAAAATGCAAAAAAGAAAAATAAAGGGTGAGACTTGTCTTCCCAGATATCAGAATGTACTATAAAACCACCATAATTAAATCAATTTGGTATTGGCATGGGAATAGATAAATGGATCAGTGGAATAAAATAGAGAGCCCAGAAATAGACCAAGTATATATATGAGAATTTACTATATGACATAGTTGGTATTTCAATTCCATGAAAAAGAATGGATTATCTAATAAATGGTGCCAAGACAACTTCCATCTGTAAGAAAATAAAACTGGACTCCTATTTTATGCCACATACAAATATAAACTCTATATAGATTAAATACAAATGTAAAAAATAAGACAATAACAATCTTGAAAATTTAGGAGGCTACATGTTCAATATAGGCAGGGAGAGGGGGCTTTGTAAACCAAGACTGGAAATCCAGAAGCCATAAAAGAAAATGTAGATATATTTTACCTTGTAACAATTAATAAACACTTTTGCATGGCAAAAGATAAAATAAAGTCAATAGACAAATAATACATTTTGGGGAAAATATTTTTAAGGTACAGGACAGACAGATAATTAAAAACAATAAACAAAAAGGTTTTCTAAATGGACAAAAGGTAGACAAATAACCCAATAGGAAAATGGGCAAAGGATAACAAAAAGCATCTCACAAAAGAGCACATTTAAATGGTCAACATACATAGGAAAAGAAGTTCAAAATTATTAGTTTTCAGAGAGATGCAAATTAAAATACAATGAGATATTATTTTATACCTTTTAGACTAGCAAAAATTAAAATGAGGGTAATTTTCATTGCTGACAGGGATGCAGGGAAAATTGTTTTTACATTGCTGGTAGAAATGTAAATTTCTACCACCCTTTATAATCTGGCAATCTCTCTTTTTTTTTTTTCTTTTTCTATTTTTTTTAATAGGACCTCCCTCTGTTATCCAGGCTAGAGTGCAGTGGCAAGATCATAGCTTACTGCAGCCTCAAACTCTTGGGATCAAATGATCCCCCTGCCTAAACCTCTTGAATAGCTGGGACTATGGATATATATCACCATACCCAGCTAATGTCTCTTGTTTTTTATAGAGAAGGGGTCTTGCTATGTTGCTCATGTTGGCCTCAAAGTACTAGCTGCAATTGATCCTCCTGTCTCAGCCTCCTGAGTTGCTGATATTACAGGACTGAGCCACTGCACCCAGCTCTGGCAATATCTTTAGAAATTTAAAATATGGAAACAGAAGTGTAGGTGATGGTCCGAGGCATCACCACCAAGCTGGGAACCCGGGAGATGACCAAGACTGACCCCAAGACCATGCAGGATCTTATTACCTCGGTGGTGCAGACACTCCTGTAGCAGATGCAAAATAAATTTCAGACCATGTCTGACCAGATCCTTGAAAGAATTGATGATATGAGTAGTCACACTGATGATCTTGAGAAAAGCATCGGAGACCTCACGATACAGGCTAGAGTAGAAGAACTGGAAGGTGAAAACAAGTTACCTGCTACTCAAAAGAGTTGAAGGTTGCTAATATTAATAATTTACACTGAAATCTGGAACAGTATTTTTCAAAGCCAAGAGAAGATTGAATGGCTTTTTGAAGTTAACTACTATGTGTAGACAGGTTTTATATTATAAAATGTGCATTCTTACCACATACTATATAATTAGCTTATAGAGTGGTTTATCCCCCAGTTTCTTGAACATGGTATCTTCACATCTTGGACCTTGGTCAGTTGTGCTATTAATTATTAAACACTAAGGCTGGGCGCGGTGACTCTTGCCTGTCATCCTAGCACTCTGGGAGGCCGAGGCGGGTGGATTGTTTGAGCTCAGGAGTTTGAGACCAGCCTGAGCAAGAGCAAGACCCCATCTCTACTAAAAATAGAAAAATTAGCCCTGCGCTATGGCGTGTGCCTCTAGTACCAGCTACTCAGGAGGCTGAGGCAGTAGGATTGCTTGAGCCCCGGAGTTTGAGGTTGCTGTGAGCTAGGCTGACGCCACAGCACTCTAGCTAGGGCAACAGAGCGAGACTCTGTCTCAAAAATAAAATAAATAAATAAAATAAACACTAAAACTTTGGTGCTTCCTGCATAAAAAAAGAAATTAAATATATGTGTTGCCTTTGACCCACCAATCATACTCCTATGTCCCATAGAAATGCAAATACCAGTACATAAGGAGATTATGGAGATTATACCCACATATACATACACACATCAGCATTATTTTTTATACTGGCTATTCTCTCTGAAACTCTGGGGGAAAAAAAGTAGAAACAAATTAAAACTCATTAATAGGCACCAAGTGTTGTGTTAGTTAAAACCAGGAAAAAGCCCTGGTTTATAGTGTTTGCAGATTTCTATGATGTAAATATTCCCATCACGCTACCAGCCTGATGTCACTGAATGCTAGGGTGGAAAGAGATGTGAATTACCAGATCTAGAAAGCTGGAGCTCCTTAAATAAATTATAGCACAGCCATTAAAAAGAATGAGATGGTGTTATAGAAGTTTACTTGGTGGATTTCCAAGAGGTATTGTGGGGTTTTTTTGTTGTTTTTTTTTAGACAGAGTCTCGCTTTGTTGCCCAGACTAGAGTGAATGCTGTGGCGTCAGCCTAACTCACAGCAACCTCAAACTCCTGGGCTCAAGCAATCCTCCTGCCTCAGTCAGCCTTCCCAGTAGCTGGGACTATAGGCATGCACCACCATGCCCGGCTAATTTTTTCTATATATATTAGTTGGCCAATTAATTTTTTTCTATTTATAGTAGAGATGGGGTCTTGCTCTTGCTCAGGCTGGTTTTGAACTCCTGACCTCTAGCAATCCGCCCGCCTCAGCCTCCCAGAGTGCTAGGATTACAGGCATGAGCCACCGCGCCCGGCCCAAGAGGTATTGTCGAAGAAAAAAAAACAAATAGCAGAAAAGCATATAAAACGACATAATCATATTTTTGTGAAATATCTATTGATTAAAAACCTATATACATATGTGTGTATTCTATTTGCAAATGATTATATGGATTTGAGAAAAGAGGAAGGAGAGAACCAAGGAAAAAGAGTAAACAAAAACCAAAAAGGGCGCATTTATGCATTATGCATGTGTGTATAATGTGTAAAATTCTTTTTAATTAAAAAAAGGAAAGAAAACTATATTGAAGCCCAGATATTTGCGCAGTTCTATACCAGGCTGTTCTGTGCCGGGCACTTGGGAACATAGGAACATGTGAGACATGGTTTCATTCTTACATCTATCTGGAAATACAAAAGCAAATAGTCACAGGGCAATCTATTGTCTCCACAACAGTGCCACAATGAAAGGACAAGTAAAATGAGAGTAGGGTTGGGTTTTTTGTTTGTTTCTTAAGAAACAAACTTGACTTAAGCCCCCAAGTCCCACCTTGACCCAAGCTTGCCACTGGGTCTGGAGCTCCTCCTTCTCCTTGCAGTGGGGCCCAGGACCAGCCTGCTTTTGTCCCCATGGGGAGCTATCTTTGCCAGCCTCCCCAGCTCCCCCTTCCTTGCCGCCCCCAAAGAAAAACACATTTTATTTTGAAGATTTTACTGCTTTGCTGCTACTAATTTACTGCTAGTCACCATGGAAACAGATGTGGAAAATATAAACAACGCAGTTGAGGAAGCCACACATAATCAAGAATCTTACAGGTGTCACAAGGTTTGGTTCCTGGGCGTCTTAGCTTCATTCTAATATGGTTGCTGGAAGCCCTCACTGGGTGCTACCGTGCCCTTGCTGTCTCTCTGACTCTTTCTCTCCCTCCTCTCTTCTTGGGTGGCCAACTATTCATCAAGCAAGACCTGCTCTGAGTTGCCATGAGCTTTACCTTGGGGAAGGGTCCTTTCACCTCATGGGAGTTCTGTTCCCCCAGGCCTCTCTTTTATTGGGTTTTCATCTCCGTATAATACACTAACAAATAGGCCAGACAGGTAATCTGTGTGTCTCCAAGACAAGGATTAGCTAAAGCCCAGTAAATCCCAGTTGGCCCCAGCAGCCTTTGTCTTCAGGAAGCTCCAGCTCCTGAAGAATTCTCCAACTAGAAAAGTCCCTCAGCCCGTCAAAGTCCCCCATCACCACCTGATACCCCCACCTCCCCAATATCCCCATCTCAGTCTCCTTGCCACCAGCTGGCCGCCTTTAGACTGGCTCTGTGTTCCCGTGGCTTAGCCTTCATCCCTAGGCTGTCAGGACACTGGTAAGCATACTCTGCCTGGCAGAGGCTGACCTTTGCTGGTGTCATTGCTGCCACCCATTTAAACACAGCTTTATGAAAACCCACTGTTTTCAGCTGATCACATCCACATTTCACATTTATTCAGCTTGCCAGAACATTTACATAAAGTTCTGAATCATCCAAAGAAATAGCCAGAGGACCTGTTTACATAGGAAAAAGAGCTGAGGTTTTATTGGAGGGTCTGAAATAATGTCAACCCCAGGGGGGCAAGCTAAGCTGGAAAAGAGAAAAACAGAGTTTGGAATCGTAATAGTCAGATAAATGCCTACTGAGCCCAGCTGGACAAGGGGAGACAGGTAGAGTGTGGCCAGAGGTCAGAGGTGGTAGCAGAAGGCACAGAAGAATCAGAGGAAACTGTACTGAATCAAGGATGAGCCTTCAGACTGGGCAGCAATATCTCAGTAGCTTAAAATGGAGGTGAGACCACACACACAGCCAAAAAACTGATGAATGATATTCCCAGACAAAGCCTAACTGTCCACTGCCTGCACTTTATGTTTAATTTTGTTTTTAATCTTCATTGTTTCCCTGATTACAAAAATAACCCATACTCATCATAAAAATGTCAAAATTTATAGAAACACATAACTTAGAAATTTAAATTCTATTCATCAGTGATATAACCACTTTTAAGTTAAGGTATATTTACCCAGATTGCTTTCTCTGCATACATGAGCATTTAATTATATGCACATATATGTAAAGTTTTATAAAATTAGTATTGTAAAATCATGGCCAGACTTAGAGCTTAAGCAACCTTAAACCTGGAAATGGTTACTGTGTCCCCTGGCCTCACACATATGTAATTCAAAATAAAAATACTAAATAATAAAATAAGCAAAAAGTCAAAAAGTTTAGATTTTTCCTTTAATATTTATTTCAGTGCTTTTTAAAATATATATATTCTCTCAAAAAGTTATGGGATTTGGAGGGGTTGGTTTTTTATTTTTTTCTTTCTTGGTGCCCCAAGCATATACCTGCTTTGCAAATTGGACAATATAACAATTTGTACAATAGACATTACACATTATCTTGCAACTTGTTTTTTCCTTTCATATATCTGTCCATGTCAGTATCTAAACATCATTGTGATTGGCAGGTATGAGCTACTCTCCAGATAAAAAACAAGGTTTTTCAAATGCTAGTGCTTGTAACCAAATGTTAGGATCTTGGAGGAATTTTCATGGCTTTCATAAATTAGTGTTACAACCACTGGCAGGGTGGGTTTTTCCATTTAGAATTGAGTTCACAAGCAACTGAACTGCTTTTAAACGTTTATGGAAAGAGGTGAGATATAAATTAACTTGTTCATTTATTTACATGTAGTTCAACTCAAGAGCAGTGAATATTCTCATCATAATTAGGGGTGAAGGTAAAAATCAGGGAAAATTGGCCAGGTGCAGTGGCTTACACCTGTAATCCTACCACTCTGGGAGGCCGAGGCAGGAGGTTCACTTAAGGTCAGGAGTTCGAGATTAGCCTGAGCAAAAACTGAGACGCCATCTCTACTAAAAATAGAAAAAATTAGCTGTGCATGGTGATACATGCCTGTAGTCCCAGCTACTTGGGAGACTGAGGCAGGAGGATCCCTTGAGCCTAGGTCTTTGAGGTTGCTGTGAGCTGGGTTGATGCCGTGGCACTCTAGCCCAGGCAACAGAGTAAGACTCTGTCTCAAAAAAAAAAAAAAAAATCAGGGAAAATTTATCAGTACAAGTTTTTCCTTTATGTTATCTCTGTTAAAGAATTTAGAATTAGACTTGTATCTTAAATTGGTTATTTAATTTATTTGTACTTAAATATTTATTACTTAAATATGGTACTTTTGTCTCTGATTTCTAATTTAATTGCATGAACAGAGAATGTTATTTGTATGCTATTAGTTCATTGATATCTCATTGAATCCTGCTATGGCTTAGAACATGGTCATTCTTTGTAAATATTTTGCATGTGCATGAAAAGAGTGTATATTAATACTGTGATTTTGACCACCCTCTTGAGTGAAGGAAGAAGTCAGAAGACTGAAGTCCATATTCTTATTTGAAATTAGCCTTGAGAGAAAAGCTTTCAAATATTATCAACCCTGAAATTCATAAGGCTGAATCCCTCAACAACTTTTACAAAAAAGAATTTTTAAAAAAACATTATAGGCCGGGCGCGGTGGCTCACGCCTGTAATCCTAGCTCTTGGGAGGCCGAGGCGGGCGGATTACTCAAGGTCAGGAGTTCAAAACCAGCCTGAGCAAGAGCGAGACCCCGTCTCTACTATAAATAGAAAGAAATTAATTGGCCAACTGATATATATATAAAAAATTAGCCAGGCATGGTGGCGCATGCCTGTAGTCCCAGCTACTCGGGAGGCTGAGGCAGAAGGATCGCTCAAGCCCAGGAGTTTGAGGTTGCTGTGAGCTGGGCTGATGCCACGGCACTCACTCTAGCCTGGACAACAAAGCGAGACTCTGTCTCAAAAAAAAAAACAACATTATAATTTTTTTAAAAATTGTCAAACAGATAAT